TGCAGGCTTGTGTTGTTGCCACATTATCTTAGATTACAAATAAAACACAAAGCTTATGATTCATTGTCTAGCTTTGAAGAGTGACAGCTCACCACTGTACCAGAAAATCTGATTTGTGAGTATATAGAGACCAGTATGTATACAATTATTAGCTCTTAATGAGATCAATGTATTTAATTCATTTCACTATTTTGCTATGGTTAGAAACAAGCGTTTCTAATATATTCCTTTACTTAACGATATGAGTGAAACTAGAAAATATGCCATTCAAGAAGCAAATGACTGGTTCCCAAACTAAAACTATGATAGCAAATAAATTCTTAAAACTATCTTTATCAGAAACACATCCCCCTGCTCTCTGCTTTGAAGCCAGGGTCTCTCAATGCACCATGTACAGAGAGTGGATTCTAATAATTTGAGAGAAAAGTAAGTTTCCTTCTGTAAATACAGATAATAAAATATTAAGATACCATAAGCATGACTGATCAAAGTGTGTGTTCATTTTCATTCTGTATGGAAAGGAAACCTTGGCTCCAGTATAATCTATAAATTATAGTAAATCTAAGAAAATAGAAAGGTGAGTATAGTCAAATTGTGATTGAGTTCATAGGATTGACATTTTAGAACACATCCAAGGCTATGGCAAGTTCCTTCATGCTTTATGTGAAGGGTTATAACCTTGAAGTATTCAGAGAAATCTTCTACACGTATTTAAAATTTCAGTATAAACTCTTCATGGAATTTGTTCAAATGGAAAAGTTTGCAGTTCTTAACATAACTGAATTTCATAGTGTATCGTCAGATATACATGTTTTAATAAATAAAGTATTTTAATTTTTAGAATTTACTTTTTCCTTTAGATTACATAGGAACATTTTCATGGAAGTCTATAAATGGTTGTGGCAACATTTTTTAAAAAATCATTTACTTTATTTCTTGAGATTATAATATACTTACATCATATCTCCAAATCTCCTTTACCCTCCATCTCATCCCATGCAACTCTCTTGCTCTCTTTCGAATGTATGGTCGCTTTTTCATTAATATTAACATGAATGCATATTAATATGTATTTGTAAATACTTAAATACAACTTGTCACTCTGTATACTTCGTGACTGTGTGTGTGTATTTGCAAGGTTGACCATTTGATACTGGATAACTAATTGGTGTTGGTGTTCTTTTCCATTAAAAAGGCATTTCCCTGCTCACAGCACACCTTAGTTACCTATAGTTCTTTGTGTAGAGTTAAGGTGTCATGAGCTTCACCTTTTTGACTTTGACATGCCTACTGTTATTGTCGTTGCTCAGTTCATGTTTTGTATGTACAACTTTGCCGGGTATGTTATAATTGGATTCATTCACAAACTGTTTTATACAGGGAACATGTTAAAAGGGTACATGACTTTCGAGTCACTATGTCATAAGTCTCTTGAACTTAAATATTCTACTAAAAAACTCAGTTGTTTGCTGTATTCATTTGTATTCTTCATAAAAAATCAAACAAGTATGATGTCTGTGTGGGGCACAGGCTCACGTGAAGACTGGCACTATTTATCTTCCGTGTTGCTGAGCAGGCTAGAAACCTAGAGCATTTTGTGCTCCACAGGAAGTTCAAAGCAGAAGCTCTCACATTTACCCATCACTTGCGCTACTGGGAATTGACTAAGTCTTTTCACTTGCCCTCACCTGAGTGGTGATCTCACTTAAAATTACCTTGCCAAGCACTCTTCTCTAAAATGTGCTTCAAATGATACTGGGTCAAACTATTTCATTGGTTTTTAATAAGAGACAGACAGTAAAAACCATAGACACTAAGCCTGGTATTCCCCATTCTTTCCTGGTGAATCTTAATATATTTACAGTGATATGCCTGGATCTTATAAACTTATAAAAGGCACACACACAATCTCTCTGTGTGTTTCTCTGTCTGTCTCTCTCTCTCTCTCTCAAGGGGATATGATGTATGTTCTGTTCTATATTCTGCATTCTTAATAAAGTAATTTTGGAGAGATATATGCCTTTACCTATTTATTAGTTAATTACCTAACCCTCTACAAACATTTATGAATAAATACAGTGCAGGGATTATGGTAGGCCTAAGATATTTATACAGTGAGCAAGACCAACAAAGACTAAGTCATCTCGAGCCTTATTGTTTGGAAACTATTTAAGAAACATAAAATCGCCAGTATATGAAATTTTGCAACATAGGATGTGTTAAAAGTAAAAAAAAAGTTTACTTTAAAAAAAATCTAATGGGTTTTGATTTTTGATTTATTCAGTTGTTACAAAGTCAGATTCTCAAAGATCAGTTGATAATATCCAAATTTAAATGTGTTATCTTGACTTTTCTGCCCATTTATTTAAAACCATGCAACAATTAAAAGATTAGTATTTCTAACTATGTTGTCAGAGAATAATATCCAAACTACATGATATTTGAAGTATCCAATAAAATAATTCCCCGCCTATCAAGTTTGACTGCCATGGATCAGAGAAATAGAGTTGAGAGAGTTTCCTGGTTATCTTTGAATATTGTTTTTTTTTTAATGTCTGAATGCAACCACAGCCTAAGTACGATCTAGATCTTAAACCCACATTAAAATGAATCTGCTTTATGCTTTCTCCCCAACCCCCCAAATTAAGTCCTCTTGCATTTACAAATCTGAGTCTCTATGAGAGATCAGGTGTGGTGGAAGCTGCGGTCACTGTGCCCAGCACTCCCAGCCTCTCATTCTTCCAATACAGGGTAAGTTAGACAGCTTCATCATGCCAATAAAACTCCAGTATTCTTTTCAAACGTTGTTTCTTTGATTCTTGAGAACTTGCAAAGACTGCAGCAGCAAGCACAGGACCAGGTCTGCCCAGATCTGCTGCATATATACTATAGTTCAGTATTTTCCAGGACTCCTGAGTGTGTGAACGAGTGGGTCACAGATTCTTGTGCTTTCCCTTGAGATTTTTTTCTTTTGCTTATCCAACTTTGATATGACGGTTTTTGTTTTATTTTAGTATATTTAAATTTGTTATGTTTTGTTGCTGTCTCTTAGAAGCCTGTTCTTTTCTGACTGGATACAGAAAAAGAGTGAATCTGGATGGGAGCAACAGTAGGGAGGAACTATAAGGAGTAACAGGAAGGCGATTTGTAATCAAGATATACTGCGTATGTTATATATATGCAAATACATACAATATAAAAAATCTATTTCCAATAAAAAGTAAATAAAAATGAAACAATAGTTTTAAAGTTTTCATATTGTAATGCATTAAATAAGAAGGACATTACATAATCTGAATATAGTTTTGAAATTTGAATAAACGGAATTTTGCTTCAAAATAAAGAAGGACATTACTTGTGTCATTTGTAGTATAGTTATAGTCAGACTACAGTGTGAAGAGTACAATACTGGGTCTAGCAAATAATAATATACATTTAAATAATAATCAATATCTTTTACAAAGAGTGAAGGATGTAACACTTTATTTCTAAAATATCAATTGAAAATTAACTGGCTAAAATAATTAGGTCATTCTGACAACACCAATTTTCTTTCAATAGTGAAATTCCAAACTTGAGTTTTAGGCTCTTTACTTGCATGTTTAAAAGTTTAAATATTTCAATTACAGTCTTAAAAAGAATAACTAAAATATCAACTGATCCCCTGGATTGTGACATTCATTTAACTGTGAGTTGACATAAAATACCTGGGAAAAGAAAACAACAATGGGGTCCAGAATAGAGCTGAATATTTGTTACCTTGTGTAAGCCTTTTCCATTTAGTTATAATATTTTAATTCAATGGAGTTTATATTAAAGTAAATCATAAATATTAGTACTTATACTCTTAGGTTAAAGTAAGAACCTCAATATGATTTAATTTATATTATTTATTTTAAGACATATTTTGCTTTTAATTATGGATTTCTGGGCTTATGAATATATATGTGCTTGTTTACATGTACTTATAGAAGGCAGAATAATCTGATGCCCCTGGAGCTTAAGTTACAGGCAGCTGTGAACCACCCATTGTAGGTACTTATCTGCAGGTACAATACATGTTCTAACATCTGAGCTAATCTCTAGACCTTTATTTTTATTTAACCCAAAATACCTCTAAGGAACATTTGTATTAATATCCCAGTGCAAAAATGGAAGTTTTATGTAGAAGGAGCTGTGGTGGGCTGCATTCAAGCCGCCCGGCCACCGGCTAGCTTTACCCGAAATAATTACACAGAAACTGTATTCTTTTAAACACTGCTTGGCCCATTAGTTCTAGCATCTTATTGACTAGCTCTTACATATTGATCTAACCCATTTCTAATAATCTGTGTAGCCCACGAGGTGGCTTACCAGGGAAGATCTTAACCTGTGTCTGTCTGGAGTGGGAGAATCATGATGACCTACTGACTCGGCTTCTTTCTCCCAGCATTCTGTTCTGTTTACTCCACCTACCTAATTTTCTGTTTTATTAAAGGGCCAAGGCAGTCACTGTATTTAACCAATGAAATGAACACAAAACAGAAGACTCTCCCCCATCAGTTTTACACAAATGTCTTTTATGTGTTTAATTACATTTATAGGAAGAAGAGACATGTCACTAAGAATACTAATTTATAAAACCTTGAACAAATTTCTAACAACCTAACCATTGTATCATTTCCATATTTGATACAATTCATTTACAAAACTACAAGGTCAAATTAAATAAGAGAAACCAATCAAATTCTATTTGATCTTTTCCCATGACCATCCTGACCAAACAGATGGGGTATGTTATTGTTTTAAAGTTAGTATTGCAAACCGACAAAAATAATACATTGAAAAACTTATTACATAGTTGGAATAGTAGCAAGAATGTATTAGTCATAATTTAGGAGAAGGTTGCTGAGTTTTTCATGGCTGTTAGAACATTGTTTTAACTTTAACTATGATAGAAATAGTACAAACATGTCTACAAGTCAGTTTTTAATCAGCCATAATTTGTAAAATGTAACCTTTCATGCTCGTTGTTGGATATGCTGTATCAATTTCTTAAAGGCTTCTTTAACATCTTTGTTTCTCAGACTATAGATGAAAGGGTTGAGTAATGGATTGATGATAGTGTAGAACATGGCAGCCACTTTGTCTCTCTCCAGGGAGTAGTTGGAACTAGGCCTTGAATACATGAAGAGCAAGGAGCCATAGAAGAGGGTGACGGAGACCAGGTGAGAGGCACAGGTGGAGAATGCCTTGCGTCTTCCTGAGGCTGAGCGGATCCTCAAGATAGCCAGGAAGATGTTGAAATAAGAAATGAGGATGGCAAGAATGCTGGAGAGCACGGTGAAGCCCACCATACTAGAGAGAATTTTCACATAGACACGAGTGTCTGTGCAGGACATTTTTACCAATGGAAGTACATCACAGAAAAAGTGATCAATAATATTTTTACCACAGAAACTTAACCTGAATGTGTTGGCAGTATGGGCTATGGCATTCAAAAACCCTCCAACATAGGATCCAGCCACCAGCCCAGTACAGAGAGAAGTAGACATGATGCTTGAATAGAGCAATGGGCTACAAATTGCAGCATGGCGGTCATAGGCCATGGCTGCCAGCAGGTAGCACTCAGTATAGGCTGCTACACAGGAAAAGAAAAACTGAGCCCCACAGCCAGCCAAGGAGATACGCTTATCTTCTGAGATACAATTGACCAAGATTTTAGGTATATACACAGAATTATACCAGAAATCCAAAAAAGAGAGACCCCCTATGAAAAAGTACATGGGTGTATGTAGCCTGGAATCAATACGAATTAGGATAACCAAGGTCATATTTCCTGACAAGGTCATCACATAGATGGTTAAAAATATTCCAAATAGAATCAACTGCAGATGGGGGTCTTCTGAGAAGCCCAGGAGGATGAATTCAGTAAGGATGGTGTGATTGTCGATCTCCATGTCCACAGAGGGGAAAGCCAGGGTAGAAAAGTGCAATGGATACACAGTATAGAAATAATCCCAATAAGATGATAAGAGAAATAAGCTATCACCAATCACTGGACCTTAATAACATGATGTGATAAAAAAAAACATAGATTAGTGATGTAATCCATTAAGAGAAAGACATAAGCAATATATATCCATCAAATCAACAAAAACTAGAGGTTTACAGCCATTCTCTCCTTTAAATAATTACAAGACAGCAAAGAACAGTGGAGTTTCAGACAGTGACTGTGGAAGACTTTTGGAATTAAAGGTTTTAAATTAGAAAATTTCAGTTTCATGACTGTGGAAGACTCCTGGAGTTAGAGGCTTTAAATTAGAAATTTTCAACGTCTCATTTCTGAACTACGTCATTTGGATCCAGTCCCTTATCAAAAAATAAGAAACAGAAATCTCATGAACTTTTACAGTTTCCTGACAGGTTGTCAGCCTGCAGAAAGATGATAAATAAGAAAATACTCAATAACTGTATGTGGTAGTGAGCATATTAAAAGGAAGAGTTCAATAAAATGTGCTTACTCATTAAAGTGAAAAATTAAATACATGAATGTAATAAATGACACCTTTTGAATTTAATCAAAAAGCCAGACAACTGTTTAGCATATTATCCTAAATTTTCTGCCTTGTGTACTGCTATAACCTAAGAGATTAGATACTTTCTATTAAACTCAAAACATTTAGTCATCTCCCCACAAGCTAATGTGAACATCTTCTATGCTTGGCATGGCAATGATGCTTTTATGAACAGAAGTACATTGTAAAGTCTTCCAGGCTATCAGTACAAAGAGAAAGCTTTATTTCTATGTTCCAGTTATGACTCTAGGTGCCGTCTCTCACCATATTCATCATTGCCCAGTTTTACAAGGGGCATATTATAAAGTAATGTTACAAGCCTGTCCCAGCACTTGACACAAGGGAACTTCAGATTAAGCAGGATGCCCACAGTGACCAGTGTAGTCTGTTGAGCAACTCAGTTCATAATATAACTCAAAAGTTCCTTGAGCAAATGTTTCCAAACTCCTAGCAAAGGAAAAATTAGTTTTCTCCAATAGTGCCTCATTGGAAATACAAACCACAGCTAAGGGAGGCTCCATGTCTAGCAGGAGATGGCCAGCATAAAACAAAATCAAGAGTACTTTTGGAGATTTTTTTTTCTTATAATGCTTTGTTTTGGCAATTTTTACCTCTTCTTTTGCATATCTGTTATTGTTTCGGATTCGGTGTTTTTGTGATGTCTGTCTGTTGGCATGTGTATATGTTTCTTGTGACATTATTTTTGGGGTATTTGTTTTCATTTCTCTTTTTGTCTGTTTGGTTTGTTTTATTCCAGAGTTTTTGTTTTGGTTTGGTTTTGGTTGTTTGTTGTATAAAGAAAGTGGTAAAGAATGTCTGGGATAGAGTATGTGAGGAGGTGGAAAGGAACTCAGAATAGATGAGGGAGGGAAAGAATATATGGTATGAAAAATTATTTTGAAGAAATAAAAAGCCAAATATGTTTCTCAAATGTTAAGCCCTGACCACTAATAGATGATAATAGCTGTTGCTCCCTTCTCTTCCTAACTGAAACCATGTGAGAGCTGACTAATATTTACTTCTTTAATTACTAAAAATGATTTAAAACTATTTATTTTAAAACCACTTTTTTTCCTCTTTTCATTAGGTTATGTGAGGATATAAACATAATTATTATGTTTTTGACATTGTGGATGTTCAACATGAGGAAGAGTTCAGTTTTTCTTGTGAGGTCATCTAGAGAATTAAAATCCTTGCATTTTATATCTACAAACACCAAAAATCTCTAAGGAATGTTAAAAGACACATACAAAATATAATGTTGCCCCCAATATTTTGAAAACAAGCAACAATTTTAAATGTGCATATGGAGCAATTTACTACAGCATTTCAATTGAGTGAAATGAAAATGCAACTGTGTAGCATTTTATTCTTTGCCATGATGTTTGCTACTGCCGTGTCCTATACCACACAGTTTCTCACAAATATTCCTGCAGTGAATTGGTGGGAAATTGATATTGTATCTTATAGCTCTCTCCTCACACTGCCCTGTACTCCTAACCTGAGTCACACTGGCTTATAGTCTCTCCCAAACATACTGCACTATCCCATAACTAAAAAATAAAGAATAAAATGAAACATCGACAACTCATTCTCAAAGTCTCTAGCCCACCAGGAATTTTTAATCAAGTGTGAGTTAAAGTATCCTTGGGAAGTAACAGGCATAAAAACGTCTCCAATTCAAAATAATCTATCAAGATATCTTACTCCACATAGTAATGCTTATGAAGATGTGACCCATAGGGAATGACTTGCAGAAGTTTAAGACATCTCCAGCCCCGCAACATCACTCCCCTACTTTCTTCATCGGAGCTCTTCAACTTCACTGGCAATAATGGAAACTTCTGGCACATTAAAACCAATACCAAGAAATGGAACATCATACCATAAATGTCTGGGAAGCAAACTGCAAAATAATAACTAACTTTGCAAGAATCTCACAAATTCTATTCTCTTAACTTCCCTCAAGTAAATGAGAATATTGATACTGTTACCTTAAATGGAATTTGAAGTTGTAGATGAGAAACATATGTCTCATTAAATGAGGTGTGCATATGTATATAAGAACAATTATTTAAAGTGAAAACAGACCTATGCCCATTGTAGCTAAGGACATAGAATGCCCACCTCGCTTTGCCAAGCTTGACTACTATGCTTACCTTTAGTTAGAACAGCCAGTTCCTGAAAGTGACATCTTTTCCTTGCTCCTTGATGCATGGCCTGCATGTATTGGACTCAATATAGACATTTCCTCAGCAGTCCTTTGAGACTTTGCACACATAGCAGTATAGGAATATGTGTCTTGGCCTCCAAAGACTTAATTAGAGTCAGGCAGGAATTTGAGGTTTCTAGATTAATTACAGTGTGATGAATTCTGAAACACATTGTAAAGGTTGACACGATGATTGTATGTCTCAAAATAATCATTAAGTATGTCTGAAAACAGACTCTTAAATTTTGGTAATTAAGTCTGTCTTGTATGCATTCTGCAATCTTTTCTCTTCTCTTCTCGGTCCCCATACTACAAAACACTGTCTCGCCCATCAAGAAAACCAGACCCATTGGTGGAAAGGAAAAGGAAAGAAAAACAAAGAAAAGGAGGGGAGGGGGAGAGAAAAAAGAGAAAACTTGGAAATAGAGAGTGAACTTTCCAGAAAAGAAAGGAGAAGTAGCTGATATCCTCTTGCAGTTTAGTGGTAACCCTCAGAATTGGGTATGGGCAGACGGAGTCTAAATTGCAGGTCTCCACCAGGTTGTTCCCCTCAGAGGAGAAAGCTCTGGGGATCTTAGAAAGAAAGGAAGAAAAGACTGTAGGAGTCAGAGGGATGGAGGACACCAGAAGAACTTGGTCAACCAGATCAATTAAGTAGGGTCACATGGGCTCACAGAGACTGAAACAGCAAGCCCAGGGCCTGCACCAGGTTGTCTGCATATGTGTTACGACTGTGATCTTGGTGTTTTAGTGGGACTTAGCAGTAGGGGCAGGTGTATCTTTGACTCTTTTGCCTGCTCTTGTGACTTTTTTCCCTCCTACTGTATTGCCTTGTCCAGGCTCCATATGAGGTCTTTTGCCTTGTTTTACTGTATTTTATTTTGTAGTATTATAAAGAAGAAGAAGGTAAAAGTAGAGAAAAGGAATAGGGAAGAGGTAGAGGGTCTAGACATAATTAAGGTACAACGTACGTCCGTGTAGAGGTGTCACACTGAAACTCATTAGCTTGAACTATTAATTCAATTGAATAAAAGATAATGTAAGCAACAACCTATTGACAACTTAAAGTTAAATGAGTAATTACTTAGGATTTCTATTGCTGTGTTAAAACACCATGACCAAAAGCAACATGGGGGAGGAAATGGTATATTTCACCTTATAGCTTATAAGTCCTTCACTGAGGGAAGCCAGGACAGGAACACTACCTGTAGGCCAGGCTGACCTTGAGTTATGCTAGCTTTTAAACTTCAATTTTCTGATTATTAAGGTACCAAAAACAATTTTTTCATTCAAAAAGAATCCAATATGTCCTATTTCTTTCATTCAATGATTATTAAGGTTGAATTTTCTTTTTAATGACATAGAGCTTTAGTGCAATAGGAATTGGGCATGAGTTGTCACTGAGTACGTTTGTCAGATTGACTCATTTATCATTTAAAAAGTTTGTTCTTCAAAGGTTGATAAAGTGAAACTTTTCTCTTATGTCTGTTTAAAAGCATATCAATTCATTTTATTATACTCTCATTTACTATTTAAATTATATCATTGAACATAAAAATCATGGTTTAAAAATAATATGACTAGACACACTACTTAGCTGTCAGAGATCCTGTGAAAGTACCTGCTTATACATCTCACTAAATCTAGCAAATGACCCACTGTTCTCTCTAGTATCTGTATCATGAACCACAGACTGAGGATCGTTGAAGAATAAAGAAGATGAAAGTAACTAGGGAATAATTTTCTTAAAACAAGAAATTTGATTTGTTATTGAAGACTATCCTATGTCATAATATGGAAACTCAGTATCATTTTATTATTTTAACTGAGCTAATTTCCAGTCTCTAAAACCATAGACTGAAGGGGAATAAAGTCTCCTTTATCTCTTTCAAAGAGAAAAGTATCTTGTCTAGTAAAGCTTTTTTCTACTAAACTCCATTAGAGTTTTTCTATATGACCTCTTTAAGTGAACTGAACAATAAAATGTGATTTATCTGGCTGTAAATGAAAAATCTAATCAGGGAGTCAGTTAAAAAGTATATGTTTATGAAGATATATATGTATGTATGTATGTATGTGTGTATATATATATATATATTAATCATCATGTCTTTAAAACTTTTCTTACTATGCAAATAAACTCAGCTGGTCACAGGACTAAATCAGAGGTCCCCATTTGAAGCATGATTAATAAAAAACTTAGTGAGAGAAACTGGGGATCAACCTGAAAATCCGAAAAGCAAAGCAGTCAGTCAGTGGCGCTTTATCTTGACCTCAGTACAAAATGGGGATCCTGCCTCCAAGAATCTCAGAATGAGACTGTATCTGAGAGTTGTTGAAATAACCAGGCTAGCTAAGGATAAAACAATTATATTTTATTTATTATAAGAGGAAAAACTCACGAAACAGGAAATGAGGAATCCAAGTACAGAAATGTCCCATGGGAAAAGGTGCAGAGAAAGTGAGCACCTGGAGGTCTGTCTGGTTGCAGCCATAGTATATGAATTTTGATTTATTTATATTTTATTCTCAATTC